AAAAAATCTTGAAACAGCTATCCATGCCTTTATAACATCTCGGCTTGATTATTGTAACTCTTTGTATTTTGGTATTTCTCAGTCTTCAATTTTCTCGTCTTCAGTTAGTTCAGAATGCAGCCGCTAGACTGCTTGAAGGGAAGTGAAAATATGACCATATTACTCCTATTTTAAAGTCCCTACACTGGCTCCCTGTTAAGTATAGGATTCATTTAAACATCTTATTATTTGTTTACAAAGCCCTCAATAACCTGGCTCCTCAATACTTAACCGATTTGCTGCTTTCGTATACCCCGTCTAGAACCTTGAGATCTTGTGACCTTGGCCTACTCATAGTCCCTAGAGTTCAATTTAGAAATCGTGGTGATTGCACCTTCGCTACTGCGGGACCGAAGCTTTGGAATAGCCTTTATCTTTCTATTTATTTTCTGTTTGTTTTGTTTTTGCAGCCATATTACCAAAATATTAGAAAGTCTAAATACGGTTTAAATTCTGATTTATGTAATTTTATAATTTTTTACAAAGGGTACAAATAATGTGGTTTTTTTTTCCTGGGAGTCACAATTTTAAGGAATATGATTACCTATTTACCAAGACTGAATTAATGGAATGTGCCAAACTGTTTCAGTTCAATGATATGGGCGTGGCAGATAAACCGACGGTTCGCGCAGGCGCACATAATCAAACGTCTCGCTTTAGACATCATCACACACAGCAATGAAAAGTGAGCACAGCAGCAGCAGTAGTACTGTGAGGTTACACAATACACATGAAACAACGTACCGTGATTTCAAGACGGCCGAAGAATGCCCCATTCGTCGAGGGGGTGGGAGGCGTGACGGGTTTGTCCTGTTTTTCCTCCTGCTGTTGAGATGACATGAGAGCAGAGCCCTGACTAAAGTGGAGCAGAAAGGGAGGGAGGTGTCCACCATCCTCTGGCCATCATCATTCTCCACAGCGGCGCCATCGTATCCCAGGGCTTTGTTTTGAGGTAAGTAACAGCCCATATGAAACTAACAGAGCCGTTGAAAAATGAACTAATAACCGAGCCAGAAGTCACTGATTTGACACGAGCTCGAATGTGTATTTGTGACTTTGTGCGGTTGAAATGGACCGGTTTCTGCTAAGCTACAACGACATACATCTGCTACGAGGCATGTTTACTTTGAAAGTGTCAAGTTTGATGATTTATATTGTTTTTAAGTAAAATAAAACAAGAAATTCTTTAAAAGCTAAACTTTTAAACCAAGGGTTACCCTATCCGCCCTACATCCGCGGGTTAGCGCGAGGAAGTGATGATGCTAATTTAGTGTGTCTCTAGGATGGGTCACAAAATTGATATAGTTTACGTTTCTTTATTAAAAACAACAATTCGTCAAGTTCATCCTTCCTTATCAGTTCTTTAGGAATGTTCGTGATGGTCCTACCCTTTTCTCTATGTATTTACTACTAGAAATATATGTTTGCAAATCAAGACTAGCCCTACTAGGAACTACCTTGTGTTTAGTACACAGAGGAAATACAAACATGCTTATCATTTGCCTTTGCTAGGCAGGTGCACAGCCTTTGGGATGTAAATTAAATTGCAAGCCAGTTGGTAGGTCAGCAACGCCCAGGCTTGTATCTGACAGCTGTCACTCGAGCCACTGATAACAGTGGGGTCATACAGTGCTTTATCTCTATTGTGTATTGATCGTGATAGCCTGAAGTGGTCCTGAGGTTAATTTTAACTTGGAGCTTGGTGTCGACATGCTTGCAACTGCATGCGCTGTGTCTAGAGATTATTTTCCATACATGTGCAAGTGTCAGCGTCAGTGAACTTTGATGTTTCTCTCTCTTTTCACAGGCCAAGCATCTGTGTCAAAAGAGATTACATTAGCAGTGTGGAATGAGACACAGAGTTGCTTGTAAGTTAGAATAATGTTGCCGGGCGTGGGTGTATTTGGAACCGGGCAGACGGTACGTGCCTTAGTGCCATTGCTCCAAAAGGAAGGCTTCCCTGTTCAGGCTGTTTGGGGCCGT